CACCTAAACGCCTCCTCGATCTCCGTCAGGCCCGTGTCCTTCTCCACGACCAGGAAGTTCGGCCGCCGGTGCTTGTCCAGCTCCCCGATCCCGCCCAGCAGGAACCCGGTCACGGTGTCCTCGTCGCCCACCACGGCGATCAGCTTCCCACGGCCAGCCATCACGAGAACTACGGGGAACGACCTTGCGCGGCCACCGTCAATAAATGAGGGGAGGAAACAAGCGCATGCGCATTTTTAAAGGGACGGGGCGGCCTCCCCTGCCGCTTCGGGAGCATGCGTACATGCCGAAACGACTCCAGAACGGACACATTTGTGGCGGGGAACGATCTGCGCATGCGTGGACTTCTGCGTAGTTATCTGGCGCACGGACTTTAGCAAGAATTCTTAGGGTGGCTTTTTTGTTTTTTTAAAATATATTATTATCGGGTGGGGTTGAGAGCCAGTTTGGGGTAGTGGTTAAGTGCAGGGACTCTAATCTGGGAGAACTGGGTTTGATTCCCCATTCCTCTCCTTGCAGCTGCTGGTGTGACCTTGGGTCAGTCACAAGTTCTTTCACAGCTGTTCTCTCAAGGGCAGTTCTCAAGAGAGCTCTTTCAGCACACCTACCTCGGAGACAGTGTTCCCTCTAAGCTGAGTTAATGTGAGCTAGCTCACAGGTTTTTAGTCTCCAGCTCACACATTTTATTGTGTTAGCCCAGGAATCTATGCAGTAGCCAAATTTTGATTCCCCCCCACTGCCATTGCAGCTGCCGACAGCGCCGGGGGCCATAACTTTTTAAAGAGCCCCCAAGGAGACCTGGGGGGGCCAGAATGACCTCTCAGCGTCTGATGTCCGAGCGGCACATGCCAGAGGTGGAATTTGCCCCTACGAGTCCAAGGCCAGCACCTCAGGGCTCAGGGAGGCAAGAGAACGTTTCGCCTGCCACCGCCACCACCGCGGCCATTGCAACTGCCACCCTCTCCGGGGAGAACCACCCAGGCGAAGAGCGAGGGAAGAGCCGCTGGGCACTGGAAGTTGCTGGCGGAGGGTCACTAGCCTTACGTTGTGCCGCCGCCCCCCGCGTGGGTGGAGTTTAAGCTTTCATGCAATGCGTTCTGGGGTTCGTAGTTCCCCTTGCTAAGAACGTCAGAAGGGCCCCGCTGGATCAGGCCAAAGTCCAGTCGAGTCCGGCCCCTTGCCTCGCACAATGGCCAAGTTACCAAAAAACATTCCAAGCAATGCTCCCTCTAAGCAGTGGAGCCTTGTAAGCAAAACGTCTACTTTGTGAGCTACTGGCGAGAGGTGGAATTTGCCCCTAGGAGTCCAAGCCCACCACCCCGGAACTCAAAGAAGCGGGGGAACGTTTCGCCCCATCCCCGCCGCCGCGGCCATTGCAGCTGCCGTCAACAGCGCCGGCGGCCATAACTTTTTAAAGAGCCCCCAAGGAGACCTGGGGGCCCCAGAATGACCTCTCGCGTGTGATGTCACGCCCCTACATCGCACGCGAGAGGTGGAATTTGCCCCTACGAGTCCAAGGCCAGCGCCCCGGGGCTCAGGGAGGCGAACAACAGGGCAGAGAGGCCGAGGCGTTCCTCGATAAGAACATCAGAAGAGCCCTGCTGGATCAGACCAGTGAAGGTCCATCTAGCCCAGCATCCGGCCTCACATAGAGTCCAACCAGTTCCTCTGGAGGGCCAACAACAGGGCAGAGAGGCCGAGGCCTTCTTAAGAACATCAGAAGAGCTCTGCCTGGATCAGACCAGTGAGGATCCATCCAGTCCAGCCTCCTGCCTCACACAGGGGCCAGCCAGTTCCTCTGGAGGGCCCACAACAGGGCAGAGAGGCCGAGGCCTTCCTCGATAAGAACATCAGAAGAGCCCTGCTGGATCAGACCAGTGAAGGTTTATGTAGTCCAGCATCCTTTCTCAGTCAGTGGCCAACCAGTTCCTCTGGAGAGCCAAGAACAGGGCAGAGAGGCCGAGGCCTTCCCCTGATTTTGTCTCCTGGCTCTGGGATTCAGAAGCTTAGTGCCTCTGAATGGGGAGGTTCCTCCTCAGTCACCAGGGCTAGTAGCCATTGATAGACTTATCCTCCATAAATCTATCTCATCCCCTTTGAAAGCTGCTTATTACTGTCGCCGTGACCACGTCCTCTGACATAAGAACATAAGAAGAACATCCATCCTAGTTTAGGTGGTTAGTTTAGAATGCTCTCTCTACTCTATTACAATAAAGGAGTCACATTAGCTTACTTAGATGGAAGGATGTGTGTGAACTTTGTTTCTACAAGCAGCAACCTAACTTGTATCCCGCTGTGCCATCTCCATCACATTGGCACCATGTGGTCACGGCTGCCTTGCGAAGACAAAATGGCCAAGAGAACGTCTTCAGTCAGCTCAGGGGTTTCATTCCTTGCCATTGGATCCCCCACTCGTTGCAAACCCTCATTCTCTTCCTGTCCATAGGCCATGAACTTTGGCACTAATCTTAGAGGGTGAAGCACCAACACACCCCAGATGTTATTTTCCAGCGATGTGCAAGGTGTGCCAGCTGTCTGTTACATAGCTTTCCTTCCTTTGGTTTACCCACCGGTTTCATTAGACATTTTATTCTTAGAAATGTAAAAATATAAAATGGGATATTATGTACGGAATGTAAGTTGTGTCAGAATATTGTGACTCCAGGTTGTCAGCAATGCTCCCTCTAAGCTGTGGAGTCTTGTGAGCAAAAATCCTACTTTATGAGCTCCTGGCATTAAAGTTGTGAGCAGGCGATTTGGCTACTGCATACATTAGCTTGCTCTCGAACCATCCTTCCTGAGCCAAGGCAAAAACGTGTGAGCCGGAGGCTAAAAAACTGTGAGCTCGCTCACACTAACTCAGCTTAGAGGGAACACTGGTTGTCAGTACACACTTAATGGTGAATGCTGAGTGTTTACCACCACAACTGTTGTAGAAGCCTAATCGGCAGAAAGAGAACATGTCAGTGGAGCGAATGGAAAACTAGTTGAAGGAGAATGGTTGAAACTTTATTTCAGTGAGTTTCACTGAACTGGGGATGTAGTAAATCTAATATAGTGGATGTGACATAGAAGTATATTTTCAGTTTCACAGCTAAAGAGTACCAGCTATCTGAAGAAGCAGTGAACGCGGCAGTGAAGCCAGCCGTGTATAGCTGCTGCTCATGCCAGAGCTAGAACCTTTGTTCTCCTGAAGGTTTTTTTTATACAACACAGCTTCCAGGGGGTGGCTGGAGATTTCCCGCTATAACAACTGATCTCCAGGCAACAACGATCCGTTCCCCTGGAGAAAACAATAGCTTTGGAAGGTGGACTCTGTGGCATTATACCCCCCCTGAAGTCCCTCCCCAAACCCCACCCTCCCTCAGGCTCCACCCCCAAAATCTTCAAGCATTTTCCAATTTGCACTTGGCAACCCTGTGATAGCTTGTCTTTCACAAAGAAGACTGCACCATGAGGTTTTCTCAGCAATTAAAAAAAAACACTTTATTCGGACATTTTTTTTTAAAAAGAAAAATTAGTTTATTATGCAATTACAAACCATTTAAAGAGAAAACAAATTCGCATCAGCAGGGTAAAAAAAAAAATCAAAATAACACATTAAATAGATAAACAGATTCAACTGGGGATAATAGCCGATAATGAATATATTGGTTGGTAGTAGTCTAATAGTCAGCAACAAGGACATAAACTGCAAAGTACTAAAACGTTATCATTATGTCAGAAAGGTAACATTTTTTAATATATTCAACGTTATTTGGAATGATTTCACGTGAGGCAAAATATGTCAAGCCTGGGAACCAGCTTTCTGCTTTATTCGGACATTTTACAGTTTTCAGAGAAATAATGGTCGGTTCTTATCTCTGGTTTCCCAACAAGCGACACTAAACATACACAAGTTCACAAACACGTTAAGTACATCATCAATTATCCATTTAAATATTTCTTTAGGCAACTCGCATGACAAGTTCCCTCTCCACTTTAGCCTACCATTTTACAAACCCTGCAGACTCACGGCTCCCTTTTTCATTTGATTTATAGTGTTTGTTGTGCATCCTTTTTGTTCTTCAGACCATTCAAACAATGACGATGTTTCCCCCCCCCTGTTAGACTATCTGTTAGAACCAGACTGCCAACCTCTAGGTGGATATGGAAAAATGAATGGAACTCTACTGATGTATTAATATTTTTGTATTTCAGTTCTGATGGGACCCTAGAAAACTTCTATTTTAAGAGCTTTATACTCACAAAGAGAATTTATTGCACCTTATGTCTTGTATATATATCACTGTCCTTGAAACAGAGTGTATTCGATATGGGTACATTTCTAGAGTCCCATGGGACTAGTTGATTGTGAAACTAACAAGGTGCTGTTTGAATGTTTGAACACAGTGTAAACCTGCGCTTTGATGTATTATTTTGGTGAACCTATGTTTGGTAATACTTGACACCAATATTTATATAATAGAATAGAAAAGTTAAGAAAAATAAAAAAGCACAAAATAGTTCTACCTTAAGCAACAATCTAAGGAGCTGCGGTGGCTCAAGTGGTTAAGACGCTGAACTGCAGGCTGTGGAAGGTCAGTAGTTCAGCAGTTTGAGACCCGGGTGCCACAAGACGGAGTGAGCTCCCGTCTCTAGTTCCAGCTCCTGCCAACCTAGCAGTTCGAAAGCAAGAAATTGCAAGTAGATAAATAGGTACCACTTCAGTGGGAAGATCACAGCGTTCCATGCGCCTTGGTGTTTAGTCATGCCGGCCACATGACCACGGAAATGTCTTCGGACAGCGCTGGCTCTTTGGCTTTGAAACGAAGATGAGCACCGCAATCCTAGAGTCGGACTCGACTGGCTTTTGAGCAAGGGAACCTTTACTTTTACCTTTTAAAGCAACAATCTATTATACACAGTGTCATATATTTTCCAAATCTTCCTAACACTGTGATCCTCAGTTTTTGTACTAAGCTCCAGGTGGAGCTGGGAGATCTACTGGGATTACAACTGATCTCCAGACAACAGTTCCTCCCCGACCCAGACACCACCACAAAATCTCCAGGAATTCCCCAACTCAGTTCACAACTCTAAAGACACAGCCTGGTAGTAACCATTCCCATAAGGAAAAAAGGTCATCCATGAATCTCTATAGTTGAGTGCTAGGAACCAGTTGTCAAATTGCTGGCAATTTTTAAAAAAATTGA